GGAAGATCATTTTATATTATATTTTATAATATTATTTATATTATATTAATAATTTCATACATTAAAGTTACCACTTCACAGAAGGGTTCAAGTGTAGAACAAAATTTGTTTACCTTTCTTATACATTGTCAACGTTTTTTCTGAGAGGCAAAGTATTCAATTACCAACTGCTAAAAGGGTGATCCATCTTTGTCGAGCTCAGGTCTCTCTGCTTGCGTGGAGAGTTTAGTTTAATTTGTACACTTTAAATTCGCTATTTCGGCCAAAATCTTTGAAAATACAAATTTTTTTCTCTAAATCTTTATCTCCATGCTCTGAGAATTTTTGTTGAATGGAGTTATGTTTGTCACGTATTATACATAATTAACGGATATTAATTTACGTTTTATTTGTCCAACTCATTAATTTTCCAAACCATAATTCATAATTAGTTCATTTATTATAGTGAAAATATATTTATATTTGTGATTTACCCTAAATCAAGATGAGAAATTACAAAGTATCATAAAAAATATAATTTTAGAGAATTTAATGTAATCGAGATTTAAAATACTTCTAATTACAGAAACGACCGATGTAAAAATGTGCATGTAATCAAATTAGTTGGGTGATTTATTTTGTAATGCAATAGCAGAATAATATAAAACGTTCACGTTTCTACCATATCTTGAAAAACTCAATTTATGATCGACTTGATTAAGTCAAATCTATTTTGAAATTCGATACCTTTTTACAGAAAACATCTTTAATGAGGATTTCAAACTTTTAAATACAATGAATATCTTCACTAATAATGCTTTCACTGTAAAAAAACAAATAAAATAACCTTTTACGTTTGACAAATTCATACGGTTTAGGACAAACTGAAATAGTTTATTGTGTCATAAGACTATCATAAGACTTTTATACCCTCTTAAATTCTACCAAGTATAAACAAATTTTCAACAGATGTCAAGAAAGTGAACGAGTGAATCGACATGCGTTATTCGAATGGTTGAAACGTTGGTACTCACTTTGAATGTAATCACTGGAATATTAAACTATGATATTTAATTAAAGTTATAATCTAAGAGCTCTATTATTTTACAAAGGTTTATTTTCAATTGTTACGTGTATATGAACTCTAAAATATACTCGATACAGTATATTCATCAATTAGCCAGCCACCAAACAACTCAATTGTTGCGGTAAGGTTGGTAGTTGTGGTTAGTTAGTTATTTGCACTGTTAGTAGCTGTGGTTACTTGGTAGTTGGAAGACCCTATTACGATTATTTATCCAACTCACATAGTTCCTAGTTTCCCCTACCCTGCAATTGAGACCACATGAGCCTGTGGTTTTCCTGTATTGGAGTTTGAAACAATAATTTACATTGTTGAAGCCCTTCGCAAACTTGTATACTGTAATTGTTTCTATAATCTTTAATAGTTAATAAAGTGTACTAACTGGCCTATACAATTGCTTAGAGGTGAATTTTTTAACACGAACTAAGCTAAACTGTAGCAGTAAAATGTTAGAATTATGTTTCTGAACTAATAGCATTACATTTTAAAATAAATATGTGTTTTTGTTTGTTTTTGTTTTTGTTTTTTAAGAAAATTGTTGATGTAAATTGTGGATCTAACCAAATCAAAGGTCAACATCACTTCGATTTCTTCAAAAAAGGGCATTAAGGGTTAACATTAGTTAACACAGAGTGTGGCTTTACAACTTTAAATATTAATTACGAACTATTCATGGAAATACATTTTTTACGTCAATGGAATCCAGTATTCCAATTATACTTTATTGAAAATAAACAATTTATATATATATATACTAGCTGACCCGGCGAACTTCGTATCGCCTAAGTTATTGGTTTCCCCTAAGACAGACCGATGGAAAGAAAGTACCGTTACGTTTAATTTTCAAGATGATCTCGTTCGCATCGCTCAATCACGTCCTGGTTGAAGTTCGTTCGCTACGCTCACTCACCTTTGGGTTGGAGCTCGTTCGCTACGCTCACTCACCTTTAGGTTGGAGCTCGTTCGCTGCGCTCACTTGCCTTCAGGTTAGCTCGTTCGCTACGCTAACTCGCCTCCAGGTTGAAGTTCGTTCGCTACGCTCACTCACCTTTGGGTTGGAGCTCGTTCGCTACGCTCACTCCCTTTAGGTTGGAGCTCGTTCGCTGCGCTCACTTGCCTTCAGGTTAGCTCGTTCGCTACGCTAACTCGCCTCCAGGTTGAAGTTCGTTCGCTACGCTCACTCACCTTTTGGTTGCAAATTAGCTGTTGTCATAAATGTAAAAGAAATAATAGTGCTGCATCCTGTTGGTAATCCTTGTAACTTTAATGCTATTGAACATCATAGAACAGAACCAACTTGTTTAATTGAAACAGCTGTTAAGATTCATTAATTCCATTTCTCATAAGAATAACATGGGAAACTCCAGAGCCACTGGGGCGGAGCCCTTTTAAGAATTTCGAAACGGGAAATAGTTTACGTCCGATTCGCATACCTACAGAATTTACACACCAAATGTCATAACGATCGGTGAAGTCGTTCCGGAGGAGTTTGCAGACAAACACTGTGACACGAGAATTTTATATATTAGATATATAACTATTTTTATGTAATCTTAGATGTTCATCTTTCAATATGAAAATGTAGTATTAAACCCGCGTAATAAATTATTTACACCACTATTTGTGAATCTTGGCTGACTTTAAGAATTTAAAAGGCAATTCGTTTCAAAATAATAAGTGTAACAAACGTAAAAGGGAGCCACCAAAAGAAGGGTTAACTAAATTAATTTATTTTCTGACTAAAATCTGTACACATTTGTACATAATTTTTCAATTGTTAAAAATAGTAAAACGATATACTATAGCTGAGAAATATTCCTATATTAGTTTTACCATCTACTAGGGCCTATAATGGTTTCACTCACTTCAATTCATTTTAATTTTGCATACCAAATTAAAATTAATTACTTATCCAAGGAGGATTACTGTCGAAAACAAACCTGGTTTTTTTCTAAACGAGGATTAAACAAGACTTAACCTTCTGTCTCCTTTAATCTTCTTAAATTTTTAATCCGATACAAAATTGCTTTTATATTATTCATTAGCAGACCATTGAAGGGGAAACTTTTAAGAAATATACTTGGCCTTAATGTATATTGATGTGTTCGTGCAAGTATTATCCATTACCCAGAATGCCCCGGAGACTTCAGTAAGTAGAAACATGCTCGTTACATTTGCGTAATAGCCTTAACCTTATCTGCATTGTTTTACCTTAGAGTAATTTCGTTCCGTTTTCTACTTCGTAAGAATAACAATTATTGCATTAGGGTGCACGAGAAATATTCTAGCCTGATAGTTATATATAATGCTAAAGTTCCTTAATTTAGGTTGATTTTGAAAGCTCAAGAAAGTTTCCTAAACGTAACAATCTTACTTTGTAAAATAGAGTTCAAGTCAAAGTAATTATATTTAACTGTTAAATACTTTGTGTTAATTTAAAAAATCAAGATATGTAAAGGTATGTAACTATAGCCATAAAAGTGATATCATAGATGATTTTAATGAAATGCTAAATGCCTAAAGATTTAACAGCTAAGTCTTGAGTTTCATTAAAAATTCCTTTCCTTTAACACTATTAAGATTCTTGAAACAACACATAACTCATCGAAGGTTTGCAAAACTTTGGACAATAAGTCAAAGGACATATACAAAATATGTATTTTAAAGGGAGAATTTTGGGTCGAAATCCGTTACGTGCCCACAACTCCAAAACTTGTTAATATGAACATTAAAGTGTTAAAAACTTAGTTTTTCAATGACATAGTACTCAATAGAAGGACTCATTTCCAGGTATTTACGACGGCATTGTTGTCGGTTTTATTATCTATCTGGGAGAGATAATCGGTTCGCTGTAGCGTCTCGATTACGTGCCGGATGCGACCTTGCCAGATGCGACCCAGCAAAGATCGTGCCAGTAGCGACCCTGCTAGTACAGTATCGTGAGTGCCGCTAGCGACCCTTTGTTTTATAGAGGATTTTTACAAAGTTTTGTCAAACCGATATTAATATACAACAATAAACAATACAGCCCATAAACAAACTCTACACACGTGTCAGTAATATGTACCACTCGCCAGAGCCTCATATTAGCCTTAGTTACTATAGCCTCATTAGAATCTCTAGTTACTATAGCTGCTAAGATAGCTTTGTCATTGATTAAAATATGCACATCAGACTTGTTAAAGAAATATTTTATCAGAAGTCCATTCATACACATAGAAATCTTTTAGTCTGCAGTTTTGTTGAGGTAGCAGTATTTTATTGGGCATTAATTTGACAGACAATTGCTTTAATTGTTTTAGAGTGTAATTAAGTTAAGTTATTGTTAAGGATAGACGTTTATACTGTGTTATAAAAAAATCTTATGGGTATTTCCTTATAGACTATCCGGCACGGGTCGCATCCGGCACGGGTCGCATCCGGCACAGGTCGCATCTGGCACAGGTCGCATCTGGCACGGTCGCATCTGGCTCAACACCAGCGTCTCCAGCAGCGGCCCGCGGTACTGAATCACTGTTGACTTTGTCGTAACAATGAGATGACGATTAATTTAAGTCCAGTTACTCAAAAAACAGATTTTAAGCTGTTCGAGAAGTTTGGTTGGGTTAGGTAATGTTAGAACAGTGTCATCTAACCTAACCTAACCAACCAAACTTCTCGAACAGCTTAAAATTTGCATTAGTTATACTACTGTGTGTTTTCTCCATATTTATATAGCGTATGATTAAAAACCTTTTCTAAATATTGTATTTCATTATTTATAACATATCAAAGGTTTTAGTAAGTTATAGAAGTGTAATTGTAAAAGAAAGAGTTGTGGGCACGTAACGGATTTTGGCAAAATTTTAAAGTCAAAGGTAATTTTTTGGAATTTAATTATTAAGTTTCTTAAGGTGGATAAGTAGTTAAAAATCTAATGTATTGTTTTCTTTAACAGGCAACGTCCAAATACTGCGATGGCGACTACTTGTAAGTAGCCTAACTTGATTTATAAATATGATACATTTTATAGATACTACTTTTAGAATGCAACTCAGGTTTAATTTTCGTAGTAACAAATTTTATGTTTCAGCCTTATACCGTAGCCTACTTTTTATTCAGATGCTTGATTAATTTCAAAAGATTTAGAACATTGTCACTATAGAGCAAAGATTTGATTATTTGTTTAACCAGAGATTTTTGTTAAAACTCGTTGAATATTAATTCTGTCAACGCAGTTCGTTAACTGTTTGTTAAAAACTGGTCTCAATGTATAGACAAGCCAACAAGAATATCTAACAATAGTCAAACTTGTATTGATCATATTTTTAGTTTTATGACATGTGCAATGTAAAGTCCAAAAGTCAGCAACACTTCACATCCACAGTGCAGACCGCTTCAGCACAGGCATAACAATTATTACTTTCCCAACCAGTGCTCTGTTAGTAACTTTAGACACTACAACACGTGGAATGAGATTAGAACAACTTCTTTTTTTCAATTTTTGTATTAACTCTTGTGCATTTGATTTGTTAAAAATCATGGGAAAGAAACGATTATTCGAAAAATCCTTTAAGGAATCGTCGAGGTTTAAAAATTAAAGCCATTGATTATCAGCGACTTTATTAAGCTGTTTCGCGAAAAGGAAATAATTAATTAGTAAGAAAACGAATAAAAACATCCAATTAGTGTTACTTAAAAATAAATATCTTGAATTGAGACATCGTGTTTCCAGTAGTATAACAAGTTCCCCGCTGGTTTGTTATAGGTTAATTTTATAATAATATAAACCGATCTCACAATAACATATTTTACAGAAATTGTTTTAAAAATTAATTGTCAATCAAAGAGTGTGGTGCTAGCCTAGTGCTTACCGTCTCGGACTTAAGAATAAGAATAAGAATAAGAATCGTTTATTGCCGTTAAACATGTACATGCAATGGGCAAAGTAACATTTTTACAATATCTTAGCCTACTTAAAAATAAACAGATGTATAGGCCTAGACCTTAACACAGAATGGTAACATCGAATCGTTGAAAGTCATTTTCAAGAACTCGTTAACACTATACATGGGGTTTTCCACTAACCAATCTGACAAAACTCTCTCAAATTTACTATTACTAACTTCTTTTGCGCTATGAGGCAGTTTGTTAAACAAATTAATACTAAGAACATTGAAAGACTTGAGGGTTTTACTTAACCTACAATGTTGCCTATAAATATGATGACTAGATCTTGTGAAATGGTTGTGGATTTGGTTTGACAAAGTGAGGTTATCTAAATTCTTCTTAACATAACATAAACACACAAAAATATATACATTTATCACAGTTAAAATCTTGGCTTGTTTGAACAAGGGCCTACAGTGCTCATCAGGGTCTACATTAAATAAAATCCTCACAGCCTTTTTCTGGATCACTAAAACTTCACTTATTTTTGAACTATTGCCCCAGTACAAAATAGCATAGAGCAAAACACTATGAAAAAAGCAAAATAACAAGATCTTAAGTAATGACTAGGTAGGCTAAATCTAAGGCGACGCAACATGTGAACAACTTTGGACAGCTTTGAACAAACCTTAGTAACATGAGTATCCCAAACTAACTTAGGATCAAGATGGACACCTAAAAGTTTAACGCTACTGTCATCATCTGCCTCTTTCGGTGCTCTTACGTCTAGAGAGAAAGTTATATTCTGTGTCTTATTCAAGTTAAGGAGAAATTTGTTAGCTGCATACCATTCAGCTGCCTCTTTAAGAACTACTTCATTCATGGTGCAACAAGGGTCATTAACATTTTTCTCGCTTCTAAAAAAGGTCGCATCATCAGCAAACATGACAGTACTAGCAGAGACATTATCAGGCAAGTCGTTAACCATAACCAAAAATAGGAATGGGCCCAGGACCGAGCCCTGCGGTATACCGTACTCAACCTGGGTAGCGACTGACATTGAACCCTTAACACTAACTTTTTGTCGCCTATTTGTTAGATAGGATTCAAAAATTTTGATTTGAGGACCGACTACCCCATAATACTCAAGTTTTTTCAATAGTATGTCCCGGTCAACGCAGTCGAAGGCCTTGCTCAGGTCACATAACGAAGCTCGAGTGGCTAAGCCTCGCTCAAAACCCTCAATTACTGAGGAAGCAAGGACCCCGACCGCGTCGGCCGTTGACATACTAGGCCTAAAGCCAAACTGATCAGAAGAAATTAAACCATTGGATTCAAAGTAGTCACTAACCTGAGTTTTCATTACCACTTCCACAACCTTGGCAATGACGGGAACCACAGATATCGGCCTGTAACTGGCTGCCTCCTTTACATCCCCAGATTTATAGATAGGTATGAGTTTGGATAACTTCAATTCATCTGGAAAGATTCCTTCGCTCAAACAAGAATTAACAAGCAAAGTTAAGGGCAAAATTACAACATCTGCAACATATTTCAAGAGATCGTTGGACATATCATATATATCCTTGGTTTTGGATGACTTCAAGCTGGTTAACACTTTCAACACTGCACTAGGCTCAACATTTTGCCACACAAAGCTCTGCTTTACACTTAGCACTTTATTCCTCAGAAGATCTTCAGCCGTTGTGGTTACTGGAGGGATGGCATTACGTATCTGGGGGATGACCTCCATGAGAAACCTGCTGTAGACCTCTGCAGTAGGTTGACCTCTTTCCCTCGGAGCAGCATGAAGTTCATCTCTCACCACTTGCCATGCAGCCTTGGTCTTGTTGGCAGCAGACTCTATGAAGTTCTCGTTAGAAGCCCTTTTGGCATTTTGAATGGCTTGCTTGTACAAGTTTCTTGCTGCTACGTAAGCCCTTCGATCGGTAGCACTCTTGGTATTATTTGCTATTATGTACAGGGACATAACGTAGTTCTTCTGTGCTTCAAGCTGGGGGGTATACCAGATGCCTGATTTACCCTTAGGAGTAGATAAGTGATTTGACGACCTTCTGGGGAAACACCAGCTCATAATACCAATTAATACATTAAAAATTGTAGTACAAATTGTATTGGTATTTTTGTTATAGAGTAGGCTCTCCCAGTTAATAAGGGCTAACTGTTCTTTGAAAAGTTCCATTTTGTTATAGGTTATAGGTCTCACAATAACATTAGGGCAAGTTGCTTTTTTCTTGTCAACTTCACTGGGAAAGAGCATATCAGTAAGAATGACATGATGATCTGACAAAGGAAGTTTAACAACATTCGCCGAAATCATACACTGTTTCACATTCGTTACAACATTATCTAGGCAAGCAGGTCCTCGAGTAGGTTCCCAGACCGTGCATCGACAACCGACTAACTGAAGCGCATTATGAAGAAGTGAACAATTACTATCGTTCTTAAGCACATCTACATTGAAGTCACCACACATAACAACTTTGGCTTCAAACTTAGTGAAATAACTCAGTGTAGCTTCAAGTTGTTGCAGGAAAATTGTCATGTCACCAGCAGGAGATCTGTATAGGGATAATACTATAATCTTAAAGTTGATTAGCTTCACAGCACATATTTCAAAGTGAAGTTCAATACAGAAGGAGGATGTATCCAAAACTTCGAAGTCAGTAACATTGGAGATATAAATTGCCACACCACCGTGGATAATGCTTGAGCGACAAAAGATGCTCCCCAGGCTATAACCTTCAAGGTTATAAATATCGTAGTTGCTGCTATTAAGCCAATGTTCACTAAAGCACAATACTGAAAAATGTTGCACCTTGAACAGCATGTCCAATTCGTCAATTTTGTTGATTAAACTTTGAATATTACTATAAAATATTGATATTTTGTTTAAATTAGCCTGCTGACCCTCTAGACTAGGGCTCGACTGTACTGCTAAAGCTGAAGCTAGGCCTACCCCTTCGGACTGGGAAACCCTAAAAAAACCGACTGGTCCTTGTTTTCAGTACTATTAACATTATGAAAACTTTCACTATGTTCAGCTTTACCAGCTGGAGTCTTGTATCTCTTGTTCACGAATTTTGAAACAAAAACATCGCTTGGGCAAAAATTTGGAGTAAAGATATCGTTCATTAGTTTGTAGGGCACTCCCACTTTGTACGACGAGTACTTATCCGGATATCTAGAGTTAAGTTTTTCTACGGTGAACTCCTCTTCTTGGTAATGCCCTTTAAGGTAGTCCGTTAAGTCACTTGGTCCAGTTGAAGGACTCAGCCTAGAAACAAAAAGAGCTACACTTCTCTCCACAGATTTAAGGTTATGAGTCTTATCAGAAGTTTTGCAGGCTCCCTGTAATAAACTTATTACTTCCACGCACAGATCTATTGTGTTGAATGTTGCTATGCTTGTCGTCAACAGACTTTTGACCCAATCTTGATTTATTTGTTGGTTTAAGCTCTAATTCATTGTGCTTAAGCTTAAACCCACCAGACTGAAGCCTAGGCCTATTTATGTTGCTACTCTCCTGAACAGCCGTTTTTTGGATGGGTTTCTTCATTGTGATTTCTGAGTAACTTGGGACACAATTAATAGAGTCCTTAATACCCACGTTATCGTTTACAACATCGGTGATAACCGATTGAGTCGATTTTTTAACGTCTTGAGGTTGGGATGGCTGATTTAGGTTATGTTGTGAAAGTTTAGATTGAAGTTCATCATAGTTCTTTAAAACTAAGTCCAATTTACTTGTAATTGTCAAATTAGTAGTCACTAAACCATTCACTACATTAAAGAGTTTTCTTAGCAGAGTCTTGTCCATGTCGGCAGTTGAATCTTCGTTACAAGTTTCCCTCATGTCAAGGCGGCACTTTTCACAGTACCAGAAAACACTACTTGAAAGTTTATTAATCACATCAAACTCTTTAACCAGTAAGTTGGCGCATTTAAAATGAAATTTTAATCCACAAATGCCACCGCATCGCAGTGATCTGTCATTACTTTTAAATAATATTCGGCAGCTGCCACAATCCAAGTCTTCACTCACCGCCATCTTTCTTAGACTTAGATGTGGGAGGGTC